TCAAACAAAAAATATAATGGAAATTTTTAAATATTTTGAATTGACTGCTAAGGAAAATACATGTATTTATTATCTGTGCATACTATAGTACTTGGAAAGAAAAACATAGCCGTAAGCTCGTACATTAGAAAAGAAACAGAGTTGCGAGTTAATTGATTATTCAACCATGTTCTTTTTTTTTTTTTTTTTTCAACCATGTTCTGAAGGAAGAAGCATAACAGCAAAATGAACTCCAAAAAAAAGTAGAAAGAAGGAAATACTAAAGATAAAAGCAAAACTTACTGCATAGAAAATAAAAGATTGGCAATGCCAAAAGTTTGTTCTGTAGTAGATTAATCAAATTGATAGGCCCCTAGTGAAAATGATACAGAAAAAATATAGAAGACACAAATAACCAGGATTAAAAATAGGGAGTTCTGGTCAAGATGGCAGCGTAGCCAGTTCCTGGTGTCACTCTCTCCCACAGAGTGACCAGTTTGCAGCTTTTGAAGGGCAGCGATGGAAGACCTGAAATCTGTTTTGGAATGGACAGAAGCCGCCTGCCACAGGACCCCAGTTCAGGTTGCTCCCCATTCCGTAGAGAGACTTTAGAGCTTCTGGGCCCACAAGCCCAGATCCTGCCAGCCAGAGAAGGCAGGTGGGACCGGGGCAGGACTTCTGGTCCAGGCCATCCCATCTCTGTGAGTGACTTGAGAGACTCTGGGCTCCCAAGCCCCAAGCAATACCAGCTGGTGAAGGCAGGCAGGGTGGAACTTCCAGCCCAGGCCATCCTGTCTCTGTGAATGACTTGAGAGGCTCGGGGCTCTCAGATGAGCCGGTGGAGGTGGGGCAGGACTTCCAGCCCAGGCTAGTTCCTGCTGCCCAGAAGCAGCAGTCCCTTCAGGATCCAAGCCAGACATCAGGGTGGAACGAGTGGAATGTGATACCCCCAGCCACAATGACTGAACAACAGAGGAAAGAAACCAGAAATATGAAAAATCAAGAAAGTACATCACCACCAAAGGAATTAATAACTTTCAAGTGCTAGATCCTATAGAACAGGAAGTCTTTGAAATGACAGACAAGGAATTTAGAGTAAATATTCTTTTTTTTTTTTTTTCTTTAAAGATGACCGGTAAGGGGATCTTAACCCTTGACTTGATGTTGTCAG